CAATTTTTTTAAATAGCAATGATTTCACAATTAAAAAAGAGATATTTATAAATTTAATTTCATTTATAATATGCACTTCATTAATATCTTGTAAAAATTAAACTGAACCAAAAATAAATGATTAGCATATATAAATTTTAAAATCATTTTAATAAGTTCACAAAAACTGCCCTACATTTAACAATTTTTAAGTTAGATGTTTAGAATTTTTTAAATTAACAATATAATAATTTTTACTTTGATTTGTTAACCATTTTCTTCTAATTAATAATCTTTAAGAATAATAAGATAAAAATTTAAAAATAAATGGCGTAAATTAATTCAATTGTTTAAAATTTTTTAACACTCCAATAGGAATCGAGAATAAATTTAAAAATGGCATAAATGAATTAAATTGTTTAAAATTTATTAAGACTTCATTTAATTGGAAATTTGAAAATATAATATTTGTATTTACATATATTAATATATGATTTTAAATAATACACTGAACCCGATTGAACCCGGGTGTCAAATAAAATTCTTGGGTTCGGTTCGGGGTTTTGGAAATTTTATAAATGGGGTTCAGGTTCGGTTCGGGTTCAGAGTTTTTTTCTAAAAACCCGGGTTCACTTCTCCGGGTTCGGGTTCGGTTCGAATCCCTGGTATTACTAATATTTATTTTTAAATTTAGCTTTCTTTTCTCTCAAAACATGAAATAAAATGTTTTTATATCTAGTATCTATGAGTTTAATTAATATTTGGAAATGACTAAGGAAGAGATCCCAATCACTGATCTAGCATATGCTGTTTAAAAAATTTTCTTATTTAGCTTTTAAATATTTTAAAAATCCGATAAGAAACATTTATTTAATTGATAATTGAAATTACCAGGAATATGATAATTTGTTGATGTTGGATAAAAGTATCATTTGAAAAATGTGGAATGAAGAGACATGAGTATTTGTTTGGTTTAAAAAATTCTCTTTTAACTGTATTGGTCCACTTGCAAAGATTGTTAATTGGAAGCCTAAATCATTTAAAATAATTATAATTATTTGAATTCAAAGTCACATCCTATTCTATATAATAGTGATAAGGAATAAAAATAATAGAAAGTCAGAGATATTAATATTATTTCTGTAGTTAAAAAATAGTATAATATTAATTTAAAATTATAGAAATATATTTTTTACTTTCATTTTTTGTACCTTGCGGTTTTTCGTTACTTTATTTTCATATTATATATTATTATTGTAAAAATTGTTTAATATATTTATTCAATTTTCATACATTCCTTAAAATATTAATTTTAAAAAATAAAAAATGAAATGGATTATAAACGAACTAAAAAATCATTAAAAAAAAATAAAACTTTAATAATTTTCTACAAAAATTTTATTTCGCTAATTTTACTGTTACAATAATTTTTGCCTTATCTTGTTGCTTACCCAATTGAGTCGGATCCAAACTTACACATCGAAACAGAGAGATGTATAATCTTAAAGGACAATTACTTATTTCCTCAAAAAATATTAATGGTTTATGTGAAAAGTTCTCTGTTCTTCTGAAACTCATGCTAGATGAAAATATGGATATCATTGCTATACAAGAAACCCACTGTCAGGGCAATTCCACCGCGTCCTTTAACAATTTTATTTTTTATGGCTCCGGAACCACTCTTAATAGCTGGTCGGGTGTTGGTTTTCTGATTAATAAAAAAATATACATGTACATAAATTTGTTCCAGTTTCTGAGAGATGCGGCTTATTATATTTAAACACTAATTTCAGGAAAACTATTTTGATAAATATTTATGTTCCTCCAAACAGAAGAGCTAGATTACTTTTCTTTGATGACTTGGAAAACATCATTAATGCTCTACCAATGAGATTTAATATCATTTTAATAGGTGACGTCAACACCAAAATTGGTCTAGAGGAGACATACAAAAACAGAGGCATAATTGGTAATGCTACTCTCGTTCAACCTAACAGGGATGATAGCAGGAAACTACTTGACCTATGTGATAGTTTTAACTTCAAAATTGAAAACACCTTTTTTCAACACAGGGAGACTAATACATATACCTTCTATAGGGGAAGTTTTAGATCACAAATTGATTTCTTTATATCGAACGTCCATAGCTGGTTCAAAGATGTTACGGCGATAACGAATATTAACTTATCCGACCACAGAATGATTAAAGCCAAGATTCTAATCAGGAATATTTGGGGAACCTTTGGTAGAACAAATCATACTTCTCACCTCCAGACAAATACTTTAAGTAGATTAAACGTTAGAAATTTACAAAATCCTGAAATTAAAGATAGATTTAACCGTAATTTATGTGGTAAGATTATTAGTTTTGAGGACATTGCTCCATCTAAAACCGTCGAAGAATGCTGGTCTTTTAAAGAGCAGATCAATGAAGCAAGTAGGGCCTAAACAAATAACTATGCCCCGATGAGGAACGAATGGATTTCGAGATCAACGTCACTTTTGATAGAGGAACTTCGTCGTAGGAACCGCTTCGATAGGGTATTATGGAAAACCATCCAGAGGTCTTTAAGGAGTGACATAAGAATTTTCGTAGCCAGCAAAGCCTTTGAGGTTGATGCGGACATGAGAGGTGGAAGATTACATGATGCATACAATAAACTCAAATATTTCTGTAAATCTAAATTTCTTAGGGATTTACCTTATATACGGTTAGGAAATGATAAGATTATATTTGATCAGGATGATCAAGTTTCCCTCTGAACCGACAAGGTATTAATTTTTGCAGCAATAAATTTTGTCCATTAAATCTCAAAATATAATAGATAAACCCCCCCCCCCCCCCAAAAAAAAAAACTCATCCTATCCCCTCAAAAAAATAGGATGCTCCTACCCCTCTCGCTCATGTAGACGCTGAATCAATATCTGTGCATAAAGATCTAATTTATCATATTCATCATCTGTTTAGTTATAAAGTATTAGATTAATCTTAACAGAGTCAGATGATGTGTTGTTAGAAAAAAATAATTAAGTACTCGGTCAATATAAATGATAGTAATATCCCCTTGTAGTTTGGGAAACTTATATGGAAAATCATAAACGGTAACAGCTTATAATATGTGGTCCATACAATGATATATAATTTATTCTAAATAATTTTGTAAAATTTTAAGTATAATAGATTTTCATGGCAAATATTTTCATAGTGTTTAAAATAAATACAATTTAATTTATATTTTAATAAATACGCAAGACACTTCTAAGCAGGGATTTGAAGTCAACCCGAACCCGGAGAATATAACCCGGGTTTTTGGTAAAAAAATTGAACCCGAACCGAACCTGAGTTTATAATATTTTTAAAACCCGAATCGAACCCAGGAATTTTATTTGAACCCGGGTTCAACCGGGTTCAGTGTAATGTTTAAAATCATATATTAAGATATTTGTATAATTGTAAATACAAATATTAATAATTTAATTGAGATTTTATAATATTTTTAAATTTCTAATTAAGAGAAGTGTTAAAATTTTTTAAACTACTTAATTCATTTACGCCATTTTTAAATTTATATTCAAAGATTCCTATTGGAGTGTAAATAAATTATAAACAATTAAATTCATTTACACCATTTATTTTTAATTTTTAACTAATTCTTAAAGAGAACAAGTCAAAGTAAAAATTATTATATTGGATATTGTTAATTTAAAGAAATACGTCTAAATAAAACTTTTAAAATTGATACATGACTGCTTTGTATGCCTATAAATAAAATAAAAAATTTATTTTTTATACCAAATTTATGTCTAGTTTTTTAATTATGATTTAAATATAGATTATTTTTTTATCAATTCAAAAATTCTTAAACCCAAGCTAAACCCAGAACCACACCCGGATTCAAAAATATTTCGCTGAACCAAACCCGAACCGAACCCACCTTTTTTTTAATCTTAGACCTAACCCGGGCTAAAATTTCGCCGGGTTCGCATCCCTCACTGGATGCAAACCCTCTTAAAAAATCTTTGCCTACCTCCCTAAAAAATCACGCCGCCTTCGGCGGCGGTGTCTTTTTATTATTATTTTCACCCTTTTAATTTATTGAAACTCTTTTCAGAGAATTTATAAAGGATAACTTAAATTAATCTATCTCTACTACCAACTATCGATATTTTGTGAATATAAAGAATTTATTTTTTAGATAAAAAATTCAATTAAAACCTCTATTATTTACAATGAATTAATTTGTTTCGTAGTAAATATAGAATTTCCCATTTAACAATTCCTAACACTTTAACATGTCTTTTAAACTCTGGAATCGGAAAAATATATCTCCAGAGTTTGGCGTACGAAATTATTCCACCCAGTTATCGCAAATAGAAAGTAACAAATGTATATGGTAGATGGTATGTTCAAAATTTTAATATACATCGAAATAAGCAATATAAATTTTTTTTCTTATCTTTATATAAGCTGGACGAATATATTTTTTTTATTTTAACATGTAAAATTTTTCCCATTAAAACGAAATGGAAAAATCAAGATTTTTTTTTCTGTAGTCCTTTTTTCCTCACCCGGGGCACCATGCTAATATGGTGTTGGGAAAGATAAAAAAATTATATTCAGTTGTATCCAAAATATAATATATATCTCCTTATGTAAGATTAAGAAATATATCACTATAATTTATATATAAAAATCTTTGTACAATTTTAATATAAATAAAGATTTAAAAAATATAAAGTTAATTTATAAAATATATATAAATATCTGGTGATAACGAGTCAAATTTGGATATTACTTTTACAAAAGAATTAAATATTCAACAGAAATAAAATAGAAATATTAAAAAAAAGAATTTTAAATAAAATGGGGAATTATCAGCTAAAATTTTTTTTTATTATATAGGGCAAATTGAAAAATTCTATTTATATAGGGTAGTTACTAGATTTTCCCAGCCTAGATAAGAATCTGGTATAACATATATTACCTCTCATTCAGAATCTGATTTTACATGTATATAATAATTTTATTAGAGGATATTAAAGTTATCAAAATTATTTCTTGAAGATTTACAGAATGGTATTGTTTACAATATATTACTTTTTATTTTTAATTATATAGGGTCAAAATCAATCGGGAAACTTAGGAAATAATGATAAAAAAGACGATAAAGTAATATGAAATGTTTTTCTTTTATTTATTAATTATAGGCAAAAAGAAGAAAATTTGAACCACTTTTACCAACTAGAGTCGGAAAAAGAAGAAAGAGAGTCAAAGGACCTGATGCTGCTAATAAATTACCCACTGGTATACAAATTATACCGTTATTATATTTTTATTTAGTAATACCTTATGCAAGATGCAAATTGAAATTATTGAGAATGGAAAGGATAATGGATTATTTGCTGATTGAAGAAGAGTTCATAAGAAATCAAGAGAGGCTTAAGCCTCAAGATGAAAGACAAGAGGTTTAATATTAAAAATTATAATATATAAATATATTTTAGGAGGAACGTTCTCGTGTTGATGATTTGAGAGGGACACCAATGTCTGTTGGAACTTTAGAAGAAATTATTGATGATAATCATGTCATTGTATCCACATCTGTAGGCAGTGAACACTATGTTACAATTTTATCTTTTGTTGATAAAGATCAGTTAGAACCTGGTTGTTCAGTTTTACTAAACCATAAAGTTAAAATTATCTTAACGTGATATTAATATTTATCTCATATTGCATTTTAGATTCATGCTGTTGTAGGAGTTTTAAATGATGATACAGATAATTTAGTAAGTGTTATGAAATTAGAAAAAGCTCCACAAGAAACTTATGCAGATATAGGTGGACTTGATGCCCAAATTCAAGAAATTAAAGAATCTGTAGAGTTGCCATTAACCCATCCTGAATATTATGAAGAAATGGGCATTAGACCACCAAAGGGTGTGATCTTATATGGACCTCCTGGAACAGGTTATATTTTGCTTATTTTTTATTCACTTAATAAATTAAATATAAATAAAATTATATATAAATTTAAAATGTGAAAAAACAGTTATTTATAAGGAATGTATAGTTTTCAATTGGGGGTATTTACAGAAAAATATAAGAACTCATAATATCTTATTTTAACTTAAGCAAAATTTTATCAAATTTATAGATATCATAAGTATAATTTTACACTTAAATGCTATAATATATTTTGCATTCTTATTAGTTGTAGAATTTTTATTTAATTATATAAGATAGATATTATTAAATTGAATGAATGTGTAACACAAATATATTGCAAATGCATTATTAGAAATGTTCAAAATGACTTAAGAATAAAATTACTTATCATTCAATATTAAATTTAATAGTCTTGATTCTGGATAAAATATAAAATGTTTGAAAATAAAATTACCTTAAAAGAGTTATTTTTTTATTAATCTTTTACATACTTTCTGTAGGCTATAATCTAAGATATATTTGTCCCACATAGTGTTGTTAAACGGCTCGCTTTGAGCCGATTTTTAAAAACGGCTAACTCAATATTTTAGGCAGAAAAATATTGCCTAAGCCTAGAGATTTCGCTAATAGATGTCCAAACCATTGTTGCTTCTACAAACAAAATCTTCAGGCTTGCGTAATATTATTCTAGATGAAATATTGAGTTAGCCATTTTTAAAAATCAGCTCAAAATGAGCCGTTTAACAACACTAGTCCCACAAAATTAGAACTGTTGCATTGTAGTACATTATTGCTTAAATCATCTTTGTTGGTTGAGTTAAGTAACTATTTAAATAAAACCTTTTTTTCCTCAAAATGAATGCCACAATGAGTTGCTTTCATTGACATTATTCTATATTACTACTGCAATTTGATAGAAAATGGGAACATTTCATAAGAATTACCTTATCCTACAATATATTTGTAATTTAATAATGTTGACACTGGAAATTAATCCCCTCACTAATTTTTGAAATATTTAATTTAACTCTCAATAGATTTTCAAACAGTACTAATTTCTTTCTAAAGAAGAGTTAGGTGTATCTGAAGTTTATTATATCATGAATGGTCAATATATAATAATTTTAAATAAAATCCTGGAATAATAAAATAATGAATCATTGTAATCAATGTTTATTTTTAAAAACGAAACATATGATTGACCTATATATAAAAAATATGCTAGCTAGAGCTACAACCTGCCAATCTCTAATGGGCCAAGGACATGCACCAAAATCAATTTTTATTATAATGTACTCTCCTTATATATATATTAGGAAAGACATTACTGGCACGCGCTGTAGCAAATCAAACATCGGCCACATTTTTAAGGGTTGTTGGTTCGGAACTCATTCAAAAATATCTGGGCGATGGTCCTAAGTTAGTCAGAGAATTATTTAGGATGGCAGAGGAAAATGCACCGTCCATCGTTTTTATCGATGAAATTGATGCTGTTGGTACTAAAAGGTTTACCATATGATTTATTATTATTTAAATGTATTCTTTATATACATTTGTTTTTAAGAAGTATAAATTTTTGGTTTTTAAATTTATCATTTTTTTAAAATGTAATTTATTTTACATGACAAATCTATTTAATAGATATGAATCTAATTGTGGTGGTGAAAGGGAAATTCAAAGAACTATGTTGGAACTATTGAATCAGTTGGATGGATTTGACTCCAGGGGCGACGTTAAAGTAAAACTTTATGAAGCTAAAAAATAATCATTTGGTTACTGATGTAATATTTTTTATTTCAATATAACTGCCTTTACCCCCTCTCAATTAAATAAATACTGAATATGCAAACACAAATGATACTCACTAAATTATTGATTGACGCCATATTAAAAAAAACGTAATAAGTAGTTGATCTGTTCATACTGCTTCACTATACAAAAAAATCTCCTATTTTGGCACAGGAAAAAACTAAATTTTATTTGGTTTAATTTGATCTGAAAGCTTTTTTTAGATTGCAGAACTGAACCAATCCGGTTGACTTTCACTAATCATATGTTCAAATGAAAATTTTCAAAAGGTGATAATGGCAACAAACAGAATAGAAACTTTAGATCCTGCACTTCTGAGACCTGGTAGGATTGATAGAAAAATAGAGTTCCCAGTTCCAGACGAAAAGACTAAGAAAAGGATATTCAACATCCACACAAGTCGAATGACTTTGGCTCAAAATGTTAATTTAGAGGAATTGGTAACTGCCAAGGATGACTTATCTGGGGCCGATATTAAGGTATATTATTTTTGTTCATTCGAAATCTTGTTTATGATAATAAATTGCAATTTTAAAAGATCGAATTAGTACATATGAAGTATTTTTAAAGGTTCATATTTATTTGTTCAATATAATATTTCAAGGTCGGTATTTTTTTTAAAAAAAATCTATAAATCCGCATAAATAGTAACTAAATTCCTATATTCTTTAAAAAAATATATATATTATGAATAATATGGCATGATAAAAAAATTAATAAACTTTTTTTCTCCCTATTATTTTAAATTAGTTTAGTAAAAATGTTTGTTTTCTTGTAATAAATTTATGCTGATGTAACGAAAATGTTATCTTTAAATTATTGATTCCCTCAAAATTTATTCAATCATGATTGTTAAGTTTTCTAAAACAATATCCTATAATAATGTATGCTGACCTTTGTTCCTCGAGGCTCTTAAATATCGGATCTATCTCAAGACAAATTCGAATCCATGTAGAATATCTAATGCGGAAGACCAACCACTATTAATTTCTTTTTACCGAATTTTCATAGGATCTATGGATTCCATCAAGCCTCTAATCCTTCAGAAATTGGTGACAAAACAGGAATATTTCTGATATTTAATATACTGATATGGATTATCATTTGAATTTAAGAAGTGGATCGTATTTTTAAGGGTCTTTACGATCAAAGTTTCAAATGCCAATATCAATTATTACCTACTTGTAAAGGGGGTATAAAGTCATAATTATATTAAAATTTAAATAATATTTAAGGCGCAATTTATAACAGGAAAATTATTATTCATAGAGCATGGGAGTTGTATTTTTAAAATTAGAATATTGAGATTAGTGACAATAAGAAATTTCCTAAAACATTTGATGCCTTTTCTTTCTGTAAATTAAACCTTTTATGGTTGCATTATTAATTTATTGGAATAAGCATTTTTTGCTCAAACTAGACATTGTATTAATCTTTTTTGTAAATCATTTTATTTAAGAATACATTAACAAGTACAATTTTTATAGGCATATTGGCCTTCTTCCTTTAATTTTTTATCATATCGGCCAATTTCTTTCAAAATTGGTCAAGATGTTTATATTTATGACATATACTTTTCCTAAGTTCCATTTATTTAATTGAGCAATCTATTTAAAATGTTTTTAGTACTTCATTTCTAAAAAAAATTCACCTTATTTTTATTTTAATTATTCGAAAAAAAATTCTGGCATTTTGTATAAATATTATCTTTAGACTTTTAACATTATTCTCAAAAATTAGAACCTAACAAGTCTTGTTTAGTATGTGTATAAAGGTATATAATATATATATATAAATATTAACTGGCCAGGTTTTGAGTGGCCATAAAAAATTATCAAAGTAGGTTTATTTTGAATATTTAAATCAATAAATATTAACCTTAGCTCCTTACAATTCTATATGAAATCTTAAGATATAATATCCAGTTAATACAGGGTATATGGCCAGTCAAAATATACCAGATATTGACTGGCCCGAAAAAAACTTTCACGTAAACTCATCTTCCTTAAAACCTATTATAGTTAAAGCTTTGATTTAAATTAATTTTATAAATTAATGTATGTTCGGTTAAATGCAATTCATAACCGATTTTTTGACGAAAACAAAATTATGGATAGTCATGCCTCTTCTCCCTTAACTAAATTTGGTATTATTTTTAACAGGCGATATGCACTGAAGCTGGGCTACTAGCTCTACGCGAACGAAGAATGAAAGTAACCAACGAAGATTTTCAAAAATCGAAAGAAAACGTTCTATATAGAAAAAACGAGGGAACCCCCGAAGGATTATATCTTTAGTGAAATTTTAAATTATTTTTATCATTTGTTTTTTTATATACAATATGATGTAAAAATTAAATCGATTTACAAATTAAATTTTTTTTATTGGTTTATTATATATTTAAATTAATAAATATTAATGCTACATCTTTATTCATTTGACACATAGGTGCCATTTAATAATATATCTAAATATTATAATGAATGAGATATTTGAACTCTTTATATTTCTCGTTATTAGCTTTATTTTTCTTTCTTTCTTTCTTTAAAGATACCATTCGACAAAATATAAAAGTTACCCAAGTAAATAGTCTAAAATAAAGATGAATTTAATGTAATCTAAGTTTTTCAGAAATGTACAAAGTAGAAATTTTTTTAAATACTTTACTTTAAATAATGTAAAGAGATAATTTACAAATATTTTAAAATTTTGTAATATAATAGAGAAGCTTAGCTGCTAACTAAGATTTATTTTAAAAATAAATTCGAAATCTGGAAAATTGATAGAATGGGAACGTAATATGAAATTTTTAATTTAATCTTACATTATAAATATAATATGTATGATCATAAACATTCTTTTTTTTTAAATTTCAGTTTGCTTCACATTACAATGTTATTATATTAGCTATTACCCATTATTTAGTATTATCATCTCTTTTTAAACCATTTTTTTTGTATCAAGTTTAAAATAATTTTATAATATATAATAAAAGTTTAAATTTTAGTGGATAATTTTGTTACCAATACCAAGTTATTAAAAGAGGTTTTTTATATCCAAATTTATATTAACATCAAACAGTCACACATAAATTAGAATATTTTAATTAATACTTAGATGCAATAGTTTATCTTATAAGGATTAATGAATAAAGTTTATATTGATAGAAATAAAATTGGATAAACTTTTGGGAACGTGTTACGAAGCGTGGGACAAAACATACTTATCTGGACTCAAAAATGCCTTTGTTTTGGGGTTACTGTTATATAATATTGAAATAGGAGGACATTTTTTTCTTATATCTTAACGAATATAACTTTAGACATGATAGTCTGTTTGCCATAAAAATGATCTTTACAAAGCCTTTGATTAATAAATAATCCTGATGATTGTTAAAGTTGGAGTAAACGGATATTATAGAACCTATATAAAAGCCATAAACCCTACATTCAATTAAAAATGTTAAAATGATTGGAACGATCGAGCGTTTTAATGTTAATTTTGAATTAATATTGAAACACAATGTCCCAATTAGGACGCAGACTTGGCCAATCACGAAATTATAACAAAATTAATAACTGACTAACATTCAGTCCTAACGAAGTAGGAGATTGAAGTTAATCATACTGGAATTCCGAAAAAAATACAAAGAAGTCTAGAAGATAAAGCATCCCAGTTTTGTAAAATTTATAGTAATACTAATGAATCACTAAGATTTTTGAGAGATTTTATAAATTTCTTAATATATACATAATCCTTTTAATATTTTTATAAGCTAAATAGGGGTAAAATGGTGAAGTGATCATGCTTTACAAAATTTTACTCTTTTGATTAAGAGGGTAATCATAAATAAAAATTTCCAATAGTTAATTTGTTTGAAAAATTATGTTATACTATTAAGGTAAAGTTATGTTTAATGTAAGGTCCTATTGCACAAAAAAAAAGAATGTGAATCAAGTTTAATAGGCTGAGATATAAAATATTGTTCATTTTATTGTATATACAGAAAATAATATCCATTTATAAAAAAAATTGTAATATTTTTATGAGGTATTTTTTTGGTGTCTAATTTTGAACTAATCTGGAGAAATGACCATCATACACTTTTGAAGAGTATCACTAATGTGTTCTATGATAAACAAAAGTTAATTTAAATTAGTTTCAAATATTCTTGACTAAATAAACTAAAACTTTTATAACTTATGAATATTTACTACATTCTGTAGGAGTAAACTTTAAATCTATATCTTTTCTAAGGTTACTTTAGAAATTTTTCAAAAATTAAATAATAGATATTTTACTCAGGATTTAGTTATATTATAAATAAATAATGTTATTTATCGCAATATATAAAATATATACTGTTAGTCCTTGAAAAACAATTTTTGCTTGCACTCAATCGTTGGCATCCGAAATATACAGGAATTCCTTTCAAATGTAAGAAGAAAAAAAAATAAATTTTTAACAATCAATCTAAATAAAATATATATATGATTCTGGTATTTACCCAACAATATTCCTATTATTCCAAAGGCAATAATAGTGAAATTTGTCAATAACGGCATGATGCACAGAAAGACACATATCGCTAGGAAGAGGAAATGCAATAAGATGTTGTACTTTTGAATAATTTTGTAATAAAATTGAATAAGAAAATTTGGATTCAATTTATTTTTTTCATATAAAAAAAAGTGTATTTAAAAAAAATCCATCCTGACATATATTAAGCTGTTATATTTTAATTTTTAAAAAAACTCAAATCCAATTAACTAAAATATTTATGAGCCAAGATATACTTTTAGGGAGGAAAATTGAAAATATAAAAATTTTAAATAAATATTGTAAAATATAATGATCACAATTTTATACTTTAATGGGTCTATTCATGTTAGGTCTCTTAAAGCGTAGCCAAATCAAGCCCAGTACACACATTCCAATGAAGAAATAAAAAATGAAGCAAAAGAATATGATGAGCATATTAATGTCCGTGATTATTAAATAAAACATCGAAACCAATCCCTGCGAATGAATTTATTTTATATTGAAATTTATATTTAAAAAAAGGGAACCAACACATTTCATGAAATGCATAATTATGTTTATTTTATTTAAATAAATTTCGTTCATATAAAAAAATACAAACTACACATGTTTCATTGAATTGATGTTTGACCACTTATTTTTTTCGCTTAAAAAAATTAAATTTTAAATGAATATCACGAACACATAAAAATAAATTCAAAAACTCTTTTTTAAAAATAAAATATCAATATATAATGAACAAAATTTAATATAAATTATTAAAATATACTTGATTTAAAAAATATAAGTATTTATTACTCTATCGTTATTTTGGCCCAGCATAAAACTGATATTTTGCCTTTATGGGACTATAATTTGTCTAATTTAATTTATTATTCAACAAAGAGTCCTTTGTTCTACATCGCTGCTTACTTATTTCTCATTTAGTTTTGTTAAACGGCTCGATTTAGTCAATTTTAAATTAACAAAAGATACTCAAGTCTCACGATTTCGTTAATATGTGATCAAAATCCAGGTTGCTTAATATATTTTCTAAAATATTAGGTTCCCCGTTTTTAGAAATCGAGCTGTTTAACATCACTACCGTTTAAGTAAACTCAAAATGTTTTCAAATGGATCATGTTCTGCAGTCCTTTCAAGATTTTTTATAACGGCACAACAAGACGAATCATCTTGAGTAAGATATAGTTTTCTTCACATACTAATAAATTGTTGCGAGAGAATCAAAAACGATTTAGGAAGCGTTCCTGCTTATGTCATTCATTAAATATTTTTATAATTTTGATCTGTCACTGATTGTTTACCCATTGTATTATTATTCTAATGTTGAAATTGTAACTTTCTTATGCTTATTAAATAGTATGATGTAAACGGAAATTTTTTTAACCCTTTTATAAGGAATAATAAGTTATTGAATGTTATCCTAATTGATATGAAAACTTATCTCTAAATTGCATAAATCTCATCAAATTATATTTTTGAAGAAAAGATATGCCGATTTGAAATAATTTTTCATAGAATCCTCTTTTGTTGTCCTTAGAAGTTCCCTATTTTTAGTAGGCTCAAAATTATCGGTATTTTTATCCCTGTAATATATTTCTAATCGTCGATCGACTTTGGCTAATTTTATATCTTTTTCAGAATTTGCACTTTTATATGAGTTAATAAGGATCTTCGAATATTTATATTTATGCTCTTATCTCTAGCCATGAAGAAAATATAATAAAACTTAAAAAAATTATAAGTTGATTAAACTATGCTATAATCGTAAAAAAATATTCAGGCGATTAGTTTTAGAATATAGTATGGAGCATTAGCGACATAGCATAGTGGGTACTATGAATGCATAGAATGATCAATTTTAAAACACTTTTATTTATTTATTTAATTTATAAAAATTAAATTCTAAATAAATTTTTTATCTTAAATGATAAAAGTTTTAATTTTTTTTAAAGAGATTAATAATTATTTTTGAATTTAAAAATTAATGTAAGCTAAAAATAAAGGATGATTATCATATCAATTAGATATGGAGTTATATTAAATTATTCTAGAATTTCCAGTTAAATATAATAGAAATAATTATATACAGAAACTTATAATATTGATAAAGATGAAGACTCCATGAGGGGGGGGGGGTGTTACCTTTGAACCTACAGAGGTGGCAAATATATAGAACATTTTGAAAAGCATTTATTAATAGAACCTTACCCGGGAATGACTGGCATAAATTGGCAAAAAAGAAGGTGTTCTTTATAAATTACGTTTAGTGCTCTTCTGATCAAAATTTTATTTATAAGTAACAATAATAATTTTTAAATCTTAGGCTTTAAAAATAAATAACCAGTATAATACCATTATTTAAAAATATATAGATATCACAGGTGTTACTAATAAAAGTAATGCGGGAATAGGTGTAAGTCTTGTCAGGTGTATCATAGAAAATATGTTTGGTAGTTGCTTCTCTTGAGCACCTATGAGCAAAATTCTTAAAAATATAAAATTGGATTATTATTATTTTTTACTTATAATATATAATTAATATGAATGTAAAATGATACTTTGTAAATAATACCAAATTTTACAAAAGCTATTTTAATGTTTTTAATTAAAAAAATTTCTTATTTCTATTTAATAATATAGCGGTTGCTAAAATAAACCATTTATATAAATAATATCTGTTGCAGAAAGGGTATCTTTAAACACAATATTTTAATAATTAAATATAAAACTCGACATTACCTTCCAGATGTAAACAAAATACCGTTAGCGCTACCGATAGCCGATAAAGAGACAAATATTGGCATGACCCAAGCCAATCGGTAATCCAATTTGGAGGCAAAATCCTTAAAATGTAATATATTATGAGATATTTATTTGATCGGATTTATTTTTAATATATTGCTTCATTTTGACCATGATTAATTTGGCGATTAATTATTGATTGAAAATATGAAATTGGTATTTTTGGTGTGAGTTAAAAAAAAAATTCCTACAATTCCCCTAAGTCATGACAATAGGGTTACAAAAAATATTGCATGAAAAAAGAATCTTTGGGTATATAAAGATATCTTTGGGGAAAAAAATGAGTTTAAATCAGAGTTGTTACGCTCCGTTTTAAAGTAGCTAGCACCCGCTCCTACCTTCTCAAAAAAACTAGCTCCCACTCTCACTACTAAAGGAGCTAACTCCCGCTCCAAGTTATGGGATGCCACTCAAATAGCCTTTCCTTAGTTTTTCATTTTTTTAGAAAGTACACGAAACAAAATCATATTATTTTTTATCAAAAAAGTTTTAAATGATATATTTAAAATATTTATAATCTTTTATTAGCTTTTAAAAGTAATAAATTTAATAGATTTGAATCTAACAAACATCCACGCCTCTCCCCTAAAACCTGCTTAGCAATACTAAACAGGTGCTTAACAGGAGCAGAGGGAAGCGGGGTATTGTATTTTATAAAAATATTTTTCAATTCAGGAAATTTATCAAAAATAGTAATTTTGATATCATTATTTAAAAAATATTTGTCCAAAATATTCCTGATGATCAATTTCATCAGGGTTCCCGTGAACTAGTAGCTATTTTTGCATCAGGAATATGTCCTCTTAAAAAATTATTTGTAATTTAGTTCAATATTTTGCGCATTTTTTATCCACTCCCAATTTAATTTGAAGGCAGGATGGATAATAGCCACAATGATATTTTCGCCATTATAAACATTTGAAAATAAAGTAATTTAAATAGATAATTAATTTTTTATTTCGATTTCTTCTTCTATGATGTCTGGATCCATAATATGAAAAACTATTTTTTATCATCTATCTATAAAATGAATATTAATATGACTTACAAGATTCTCCAAGAAATTTTCAATATAAAAAGAAAGAAAAACTTGATTTTTAATGTTTTAACTAATTAGATGTAAATAAATATAAAACTAGGCTCAACATTTAATATTGCATTAAAATTTCATTTTTATTGAATTTTAATTAACAAATAAGTAGATTTACTAATATTTTAAAAATAATTTAATTTATACATTAAATTTAAAAGAGCGGTGTAACGACGCTCCTCCACTCCGGTCCTAAAAGGAGCTAGCTCCCGCTCATTTTGAAAAAGTGTAGCGGCATTTCAGGAGCGTCGCTCTTTAACAACTCTGAGTGAAATAAAATAATAATATATAATATAAATTACAAACGCGACAGCTTTAGAATCGATTATTTCTCTCGGTGTTAAAATGACGAAATAGGCTATATTTGTTAAGACATATACTATGGTTACTATGGGCATTCCGATAATTATAGAGAGAGGCAGATTTCTGATTAAAATTAAATATTTTATATTATATAATATGTATTTTTATCAAAAATATTATTTTTCGGTTTTTGAAATCTAAGAGTTTTATCAAAAAATAATAAAATATTTCAAAAGTTGGTTAGGCTATATAAGTTAGCATTTCCAAAATTATCTTTATTTATATTAATAAACGACTTAACCATTCATTCATTAATAGAAGCATTTAAGAGTATTTCGGGTATGATTACTAACATAGAATTCCTTGAAAATTTTTAAATGGGGTTTTCGGTACATTGTAAACTTTTTTGCCCGGCTCGTGAAATAATTTTGTAGAAGTTGTCATGTCAGACCTACTTATGATATTTTTATAAAAGTTGTCTGGCCTGACCCGTAAAAATTTTTTATGAAGAAAAAAATAGACAAATTTGCTTATTCTCATAAGGTTAAGAATTTTTTTTGCAAAATTCGAAACCAACTCGGATCATAAAACTCTTTCGCCCAAATTGCGGGGCCTAAAAAACCTTATTATTAGAGCCACGTCTTGGACTTAATTTTTAAGGTCCAGCCAAAAAATTATTTCATCTTATGAGACTTTGAGTCGGAATTTTGTCAAGTTAGACTCTATGGCCATTTTGAAGGTTGAAAATATTCAAAAGTGATATTAGAAAGGCCTCTTTTACGTTGTATCAGTAGAACTCTTATGTATTTTTTTTTGAATAAATATATCCACCATATCACAATCAAATTTATTTTAAAAAAGATAAAACTTTGTAAAGAATATAATTTTAAATTATTTCACTATTACCTGTAAGGATTTTTTAGCTCATCGGTTACGCAATTCAAGAAATTCCTTGTAATTAAATTTAAAAAAAAATATACAATTATTTTAGTTATAAAAAATAAATAAATAAGGCAGCTAGAATTTAATTTTTGTTTTTTATTCTGAAATCTATTCAGAAAAGCAGCCTAAACATAATATTTTGGTTTATTTTAAAAAAATAGATTTCGACATAAAGTGATGCTATCTTTGAAATACGTTTAAAAGGTATATTACATTCTCAGAAGTACCCATTTCATGACTCGGCTTAATTTATTTTAAAATTCTTATTGGCCGAGCCTGGGTTTTATAATATCAAGCATGGCAAGGTATTTAAAAAAATAGTTTTATTTTGTTCATTCCAGTTTTTTTTCTAAAAATGAGGTCATTTGAATAATCATGGAGGTATCTTTGCTTCATAGAGTATTAAACAATACAAGAAGCTAATGAATGTTATAAATATCAAAATATGCTATTTTAATTGACGCCATTTAAATTTATTTTCAGAAATTTCGGTCATACCCGGGTTGTAATTTTTGACCTTTGGATCTGTAAAAAAAGTTTTTATTTTCTTAGTTTGTATCCAAAATATCAAAATTTTAAATTCACAAACTTTCGGAACTTTAATGAAAAAAAGTAAAACCACTTACAAAACATTCTAAAAATTTTTATAATTTGCGAAAGTCGAATTTAAAAAAAAAAGATTTTGACATATCGTTAAGAATGATTAGAAAATTGAGCCATACAAGTCAGTGCATAGTCCGGTCAGGGTCTATTTTTTTTAAAAAAGATTGGAAGGAAGCATTTGATTTTTTTATATATAAAAATGCATTAAACATTTCGGGCCGGGTTCGGATCCAAAATAAAAATCCCGTCGAGTAAAATAATTTTCGAACCGGGAATAAGAAAGTTTGAATATTAAAGAGATTATGTTTTTATGGTTTGGTTTATAGTCGTTTGATTGATAAAAAAAATTTTGATTTGAAGTTCCTTGTAACATAGGGGAGACCGGAAGGTAACATAAATTGGGTAACAAAGAAAACGTCAAATTCTCAACCATTTGAGCTAAATCAAATTTGATCAGAAAGCATATTTTGATATATATATTATCTACCATACGTTTTTACTAGAATCGCGAGTTCCGCAAGTAATGGCAAAGAAAACATTTTTATTTTGACCTTTTTAGACGACTTTTCTTTATTGATAATTTTTTAATCTTATAGAAACTTTTTAAAATCTTTTAGAGATCTTCTATTGACTATTATAATTCTACATATCAAAAGTGATCCGGAGTTTCTATTTTATCTCCAAATAAGAAGTCATTTTCATAAATCTAGAGACCTAGCATGGACAAAAAAAGGGAGTCAATTGGCTAATTTGCAATAAAATTTGTTAATTTTAATCATTCATTCACTATGCGCTACTAGTGCTTAAAACAAAGAATATAGATGGGTATAATATAAAAAGTTATAAAATATAAGTAAAATAACCAATATTACAGCTAATCAAATTTATTCAAGATATCGTATATAAATGAAGATTATTAATAAATAAGATCGGACAAAGATCATCAAAGACAATGATATTCAAACCGAGGAAAAAAAACTTTATGTGATTTATACATTTGAGGTAGTATTAGCTTTATAGGTATATGGCCTAAATAAGTAATGACATAAGTTTTTAAATATTAAGCTAGAATTTAAATTAACAACATTAATTTTAAAATAAAATATAAATCCAATTCACAAAATATAGTAGAATAATTTAAATGGTATTGAAGTTAATTATCGAATATAAGATAAAAAATTGATACACATTTTAGATTTAGAATAATATGACATTAATCTAATCACAAAAGAATTTTTGACGTATGAGTATGATTTAAAAGTAAACTTATATTGTAATTTGATCCTAAGTTTTTTTATATATTGCAAATCGGAAAAATATATACTTTTCTAAAAGAAACCGATTAAAAATTGAATATTTATAAATAATGTATTAAAAAATATTACCATCCCACATATGCAAATAACCCGGAATATAAGGCTAATGAAACGTCTTTTATGGAATTTGTCCCTTCGAATGGGTTTTGAAAATTTTGAACATGACCTATTGTTATATATTTTAAATTATATATTTTTTTATTCTTTCTTTCTTTCATTCACTCATTCATTGTATATAAAAAATTTTTTTCAAAATTTACTCTTAAAATTAATAAATATTAATAATTACCTTGACATAGTTTTACGACCCCGGCTAATATAACGCAACCCAAAGCTATCAGTTTCCCAATAGTAAAAATGTCTTGAATTTTAATGGCGATTTTCACGCTCATTGAATTTATTATAACCAGTAGTACTTGATGATTTTTTCAAAAAAAAGACATATAATATCATTCAAATTAGAGATCTGCAAAGTTAGGCCCGGCCCCGGGGCTCGGGCTTAATTCTATTTAAAATAAGTGAGTTCGGGCCGGGGCTATATTTTAAAAAAAAATTTGGGCCGGGTCGGGTCGGACCTTGGAATTTTTTTTAAAATATATCTAAATTTATCAATTTTATATTGAATTTTTAATGTAAAATAAAATTATTTGATTTTATTTATTGAAACTAAAGACATATAACATATGTCTTTTATTTTGAGTAATTATTAAAATTAATTTCTATATTTAAATAAATTTGGGCCGGGTCGGGTCTGTAAATTTTTTTTAAAAAAATTTCGAGTTCGGGCCGGGTCGGCATAACTTTTTTAAAAATTTCGGGCCGGGCTTGAAAGATTAGGCCCGACGCATATCACTAATTTAAATACCAAAAAAAGGTGCCGCAGGAAAAATATATATCTTTTTAAAGAAAACTGCTATAAATAATAATTTATCTACTATAATGGTCTGATCAACATGTAAAAGTTATAGGAGGTATCCAAATTTAATTTTTTTTAAAAATAAAAAGCAAATAATGGTATTCAAATAAAATCTAAAATACTCAGGCCTATAGCGGCTATAATTTTAGCTAAATCGTCCAAAAATTTTGTTTGTTCTAGGGTCAGATTTGAATCGTCCATAAAAGTGAGAAACGGCTTAGGTAAGTAGTAACCGAACGCCATCGATACAATGGCTAACATAATGGGCCTCACCATTAGAATATTTACCCAAAGGTATAAAAACGCGGGAACCCTCCCGAAGCATTCTAATATGTAGGCATATTCACCTCCGCTCCTTGATATGGTGGTACCTTAAAAGTATTTATATCGGGTTGTTTGAGTTTAATTAGATCTTTTTGAAAAAATTCTAATGACATTTTTAGCCATATTCTACTATTTTAGTAATTATAAAACTGAACAGTCTTTTTTTATAAGCATGTTCAAGAAGAATCCCACCTTATTTATAAAATTTATATATTCTATACTCAACAACTTTAGATTCATAAAATATATGATTGTTTTGTTAAAAGGCAACTAAAAATATTAGAAAAACACAATATCCCGCATTTTCAGCAACCAGTGAGTAATCCGGATTCAACACTAGATATATTCGGTGAATGGCGGAAATATCTTGATTTTTTACCAATGTAGAAGGAGATTTACTTAAAGTTCTAGCGTATGAAAAAACTATCGTTTATATGAAATTTTTCTACATATACGTGGAGATTAAAACTTATTAGTAGTCGCCTTATATGTTTAAAATTGTATTAGTAGAAAATTGTGCATTTTGCGAATAATTGTTTATTTAAAAATGTATGCAAAATTGTGGACTAGCTTTTGACCTAGATATTTACCTGATTCACTGTAGATATTTCAGAATTGTTCTCTAGGAGCTGAAGATGTCAGAATATTTCAACTTGAACCTTAAATGTAAACTTAAAGATAATAAATAAATGTTTAAAATAAGTAAAACATATAAAGAGATTATATTTTTTACCCAACTCAGCGAACGATAAAGCCCCGAGGGTAGAAAATATACCAGCCACGAACCAGACGATAATTGTAGCACCAACGCTCCCACTTTTTATCAAAGCTCCACTAGGTGTAATGAATATCCCGGATCCTATTATACTCCCAACTATTATTGTTACACCATTTAGTAGACCCATGCTTTTCTTAAGTTGAATACGTCCACTTGCTTCTCCATTGCTTCCCGTTGATGATGAAGAATCGAAATCTTTGTGTGCAGTGTCCATATTTTAATGATGAGCTGAAATATTGTTTTTAAAACTTATATTAAGTTTTATATTATTTCTATTTAGAATTTCTTGAGATTTAGTTTAAGGCTGTTACCTATTTTATACGAAATGATCAGTATTTATTTAAAAATTATCAGGATAATAACAAAGTTCTTATATCCTGGTTTGCTTTATTTTTGAAACTTGTTATTGTTTAGCCAAAGATAAATAGATTTTAAACTAGGACACCTTATTTTTGTTTGTATTTAATTATGTATATATTAAATAAATATTTTGGCTTGAAAAGAATTACAAAGAGATGTTACATACATACATTTTAATACCCCATTTCTTTCAAGACTTAGAGGAAGCTATCTAGACAGTTAAACAGCCTAATGTTTAGAAATAAGATGAAACAGAACATTGCCTTTGTATTTTTTTTAAATTTTACCATTGATAGAGATACAATTTGATGACAGCTGTTTATCAAAGAATTTTCAACGATGAGTTATTAATGCGCTGAATATAAAATCGTCTCATAGGCGACGCATTTATAAGAATTTTAATAAATAAAATTATTATATAATTCAAATTTTTATATAATATATTGGAGCACTCTTAGTTTCATCGTCGCTATTAGAGTTTCTCAAATCTTTTTCTCCAACCCTTATATAAATTTAAATATTTGTTTTCTCATTCTCAGGAAATAGATTTGATCAAAAAAAATTCCCTAAACCATATTCAACATTACATTATTTTTTACAAAAAAATAAATTTATATATATTTTATTTTTATAAGCCTAAATCTTTTATTGTAAATTGTATTGTCATCCATCGTTTTAAATCGAAATAAAGCTAGACTCATAAAAATTTTTTTACATTACATCATTTGTTTTTTTAAATATATTAATTCATTTTTATTTTTGGCAATGTAAAAAAAAAAATCTTTCAATAGAAAAATTCAGGGGTAATTGGAAAAATTATTACGAGAAAAATAAATAGAATTTATTTATATTGCCGAGACTAAATTTTTTTTTTACTATTCAATATTTTATCCAAAAAAATTTTACGCAAGCCTGAAGACTTTGTTCATAGATGAAACACACATTTGAATATCTATTACCGAAATCTCTAGGTTTGCAATATTTTTCTGGTTAAAATATTGAGTTAGTCGTTTTTAAAAATCGTTTCAAATCGAGTCTTTTAACAACTCTAATTCGTTTACTACACACCCTTTGAGAAAATAGCTTAAAATTCAAAAAAATATATCAAAATTTTAATGCCCGAGCTGGCCTATTAAAATTTTCATGAAACGCGGAGGCACTCTGTTTGATTTTTTAAATCTAATTACACGGCCTGAATTTATGTGCACTTTCATGCAGACTGGTATAATTTTTTGCCCTGCTAGTTTTAACTTTATTTATAAAGCGCATTTTATAATTTATATAGGAGAGGGGGGGGGGATTTAGGGTAAAAAACTGAACCCAAATGCCTCCTCCATATTTGCAATCATGACGTAAGAGGCCAGAACCCAATCATTAACATATTTTTCAAAGGTCACAAGCATAGGCATATTAAGGACTATGGGGGAGAGCTTTGTATTTATATAATCCATATTGGAATTTAAAAGATAATTAATCATTTGCAAAAATTAAAATGAAAGACATCTAAAAAACTGGTTGGACAATTTTATTTTAGCTTATTTCTTTTTATATTGCTAAATATTTTATAAATACTCTAAAACATTTATCTTTCTATAATAAAATATACTACCCATTTTGATTAATTTACTGTAAAAAAATCATTTAATGTGATTTTCTAGAGATAAATAAATATTTTATCAATCTATCCTCATCCATCCCTTCCGCTTCCCTATCACGTGATAAATTATAAAATAAAATACCTTCAGATATGCGCAGAATAGAAATGTGAATGTCAGAAAAATGAATTAGCTTTTCATTACAAGATGTTAAAGATGGTCTAAATAATTATATCATTTTATTAGTTATCATAGTTTATTTTAATTACTTTTTTTAAAAAAATTAATATTAATAAAACAAATAATGCAAATGATTTCTTTTTCGTTAAACTAAACTAATATTAAAATTTATAATATCATATTTTATTTATCTTTATTTATTTATTTAGTCAATTTTTTTTATAAGCAATATCATCCTCAAAGAAAAATATTAAAGGGTTAAGGGGGAAGGGAAATATTCGAAATAAAAATGCTATGATTAGCATTTGAACTTTAGATGAGAATCATTTCATTACTTATCATAACTGATGGATCTATACAAGTCAAAGAAGCAAGTTGTTATTCTTGTCCAAAAATGAAAAACTAAAAAGAAACTGCCTATATTATTTATATGTAATAATTATGCTTCTTGTATCTCCTGAATGATTTTTTCTAATATACACGATAATTTTATCTTAAATATTTTTTTTTAATATTTGATGTTTTGTTATAAATTATCAGTTCAATATAGAATTGATAAATATAAGTTAAATTAGCATTTTTTTAAAAAAATTTATTTTGGTGATAATACCACCTGTGGAGTTTTTTCCACCTATGTGGTGAAGGGTTAAAAGAATCGAAAACAAATATTTCATCATTCGATCATATTTTTATTGACCCCCCCCCCCCCCCCCCCCAATATTATCATTGATGTAACCTTCATTTTTATAGTAATAAACTATCATTTAAAAAAATTATTTTTTTTCGCTATAAAATTAATTCGGCTAAGATATCTTATTTATTTAAAATTAAAATGAAATATATCTTTATCCCCTTAAGGATGGGTGGACTATTTATTTTTTTGTCTGCGTCATCATAAAAGATGATAAATGATCTTTTTCTTTCATAATTTTGATGATAAAATTTTAATTTATTTTACAAAAAAAGTAGCAAATACAACCAATATCTTACATATTATAAATTAAAACTGGTTATAAGAATGGATACCTTATCTGCACCATCCGCTGGGAATGTGGAGATGAAAAAAAGCGTCACTCTTTTAAATGGCGTCACTATTATAGTAGGTTGCATAATAGGATCTGGCATATTCATAACTCCGGGAGGTTCTTTGATTTATAGTGGTAGTCCGGGGGCTAGCCTAGTTATTTGGGCCCTTTCCGGAATATTCTCTATGTTGGGTGCTCTATCTTTCGCTGAACTAGGGACGACTATCAAAAGAAGTGGCGGAGATTACGCTTATATTCTAGTAGCCTTTGGAAGATTGGCTGGATTTATATATCTTTGGGTAAATATCATCGTAGTGAGACCATTATTATTAGCCATAGTCTCCCTAGCTTTCGGGTATTATATTTCAAAACCGTTTTTGAAATTCGAAACTATTGGTTGCGATAATCTTCTATATGATACATCATCAAAAGATATGTTTAACAAGAGATCTGATGACATAGCTAGAATATTCGCTGCTTGTGGATTGAGTAAGCTAATATCAATTTCTAATTATATGCATTATTATAATTAAAATAGATATAAAAATTATCTCAGATCCGTAACATAAAACTTATTTCCGTTAAAACATCTCATTTTTTAAACGGAATCCGGTTGGATTATATTGGTCCTGATTTGACACTAAATAGGCAGCTGTTTATGTAACTATATATTTTTTATCTTTAAGCTTAGCTCTGTATTTTTTAAAATTCTTTAATTTGTCTGTATTTAGCAATTCATTTCAAAGAGAAATTAAAAATATAAAAATTAAATGAATACTAAGCGTTTCCATTATATTTTCTAAAATTTTCCAATATAACTTAAATTAGATTTTTTTTAAATAGACCTGACGAAGAAAATTTTTAAGCTAAGTCTGGATTTTCAAATTCATACTATTGTTAGAACTGTTCTGGCTAGGGTTCCTGGCCAAATCTTGCAAGTTTCTGCTTTTAAAGTTTTTTAATTTACTGAGAGTTATTATATGTCATAATTGAGTATTAAAGTAAATGAAATTTAATATAAGGATTTTTATAAGTTTTAGAAACTTTTGTATTGTAAAAAAAAATTGAAATAAGAAATCAATATAAATATTTTAAAAAAACAAATAATTTAGATTCATAAAATATTTAATTTTAAAATTATATGCATTTTAAAAAAAAAATATTATGAATTGGGTGTCAAATCGTCTGGAATAACAGTCCAGTTCTATCCGGTATATAATTTTAAATTTTAAAACGGGTTAGTTTCATTTCCGGTTATTTTCTGATCAAATTTATATCGGTTCATTCTGGTTTTTTTTTATAAGTTATGAATATTTTTAAAAAAAAATTGACCCTTGATAATATCAAATTTTATATCGGTTCATTCTGAATTTTTTTTATAAGTTATGAAAATTTAAAAAAAAATTGATTTAAATAAACTATTAAAGTTTTTACAAAAATGAGAAAAAGAAAATAAGTTTATTTTATAATAAAACATTTATAGGAAATAACAAATTAGCATAATAGGATCACATAAAAATTTATAATATTTATTATATTATAAGAAAATTTAAAACACCTTTAAGCATATAAAAATAGAAAATGTATAAATAAATTTATTAGCTGCTCTTATAATGGGTCGGCTATTAAGTTTTAAAAAATCATGACCTGGAAATTAAAATTATTTTTTATAAAAAACGTAATAAACAAAAATTAAGCATATGAGATAGGAAGGGATGGAAAGAATAGGCTGAAATAATGGTAAAGTAACGTGGATAAATGCAACGTCGTTACTTTTTTGAAGAAAAGGAAGGTCATCATTACAAGGAACGCATTCTTTTACGCGTTTCTTTTTTTTTGAATAAAAGTAACTCAAAATTATAGTCGTTACTTTAAATTTTTTTTTAAAGATATAATTTATTTTATTATATATTATATTATTTAAAATTTATAAACAATTTAAGCCGAGTTTTTATTTCAGATCAGTCACAAAAGTACTTTATTTTTATTTTATTTTATTTATTATATTATTGTTGTTGAATTTTATAGTCATGATTGTTAATCTAATTAAATTT